CTGACCCCATGCTCTGTTCCTCAACAGTTCTCACTGCTCCTGTTATGTGTCACACTCCTCCCAACATGTTCCCTCTCCACAGGCCTCCTTAACTTGTGGCACTTTCTAAACACGGCCTGCAGCCTTGGTGTCCCAATGGGCTACGACCATCCAAATCCTTGCTCTCTTTTCCCGTTAGTCAGGCCCTTTTCTCCCTCTGCAAAATTTTGTCCTTTCCGAACAGGGAAGGAGCACCTCAGCCAGCCACCATCTCCCTCAGCCTCTCCATTCCCACCTTCATTGCCCAACTACTCCCGCCTTCCAACAGGCTCAAGTTCTGTGCTCTGCCTGTTCAAATTAAGCATGCCCCTCTTTCACGGTGCCTACGTGTGGGGTGGAAATAATCTGCTCCACTGTCCCTCGAGCTGTTACAGAAGACTCTAGACCCCTCTATCCAGCCCTGTCCTGTATGCCAAACACAAACAGGATGCCTGCCTTATTCCCCTCTAGAGTGCCCCCTGAAAAAAACCCTTTTCAAACACTTAGCAACACGGACAAACCAGCACATATTCTGCAGACGCAGGGAAAGCATCAGAAAGGTCACCAAATGTCAAGGTTTTTTCTTCAATCTTTCTCTTACAAAGAGGAAGACCAGGCACGTTTAATCACACAGATCAGCATAGTTTAGACAAATCTCCCACGTCACTTGAACGTGCGTTTTGCATAGGGGAAAAAAAATGCATTTGACTGCCCTGTTTCTCAGCCCTACACAAAAGGAAAAACACAGGTCAAAATTTAAGCAAACAAGCTGGAAACAAATCAGTATAACAGGAAGTATCCAACATAGTGACAAGGGTTTTACCCCACCATAAGAAGATGGTATCCAAGTTTACTTCGGACTATAATACAAACTGCCTCTACAGGACTCTCCCTTCAGGTAAGTTTTCTTTACCTTACCGTATAACACAATTTACCAATTCAGACTAATTCAAAATACTTGGGTTTACCTACTTGCACTCCACAGTTTTCAATGGCATCCTTGATGTCATCTTTTTCAGCTGATGACGACGTAGGAAAGGTAGATCCTGAGTACTCATCTATGGTGAAAAACACATATTTTTGTAACCAGCATCACTTGATACTACTAATTCACACTTAGAGCGCATCTGTAATCATCATACTTGTGAGAAAAAACTTGACACAAAATAACACATCTCCTCAAATTTGTGAGATCCTAAAGAGAAACTGATCACAGTACAGATCTAAGATGCATCTGTGCGAATTCCTTTCTTCCCAGGCATTCTACTTTTTCATGTATAAAGAAATTTTGCTGAAAATCACTATCAATGGTCACAAATAAACCATTTCTGTTTCCTAAAGGCACATGCTCTCTCTCTGACAAACTGTCTGCCGTGCAGTAACTAGCTACATTCCTCCAGCAAGTTTAGTTTCCCTATGTCTTGCACACAGAAGATCACAAACAAAATCACAGGCTTGAAATCTTTAATGCCCCAGCTTTAATCCATGCATGAAACCAATTGGTTTCTAGACATGGATCTGGACTGAACATTTCAGTCAAACTGCTGCCTCACGTGTTGTAGAAGACACAGATGGGACACTGAAGGAAAGACGGGCTTGTGAAATGTTGAGAAACAACCCATGATCTGGACGTTTCACTCGTACTGTTGAAAACCAGATTCCACCCTTTCCTCTCTCATAATTTCTAAGTAGTATCGCACAGGTTGCAAACTCCTCCGAAGCAGTCAGTCAGTCTGGGCTCCCCATTACAGGATGCTTACCTTGAACCTCTGTTACATCTGAGAATTGGACTTTAAATAGTCCCAGATACAACTTAGAAGTGGCAACTCATTGTCATTTTTTGTGTGGAAGCCACACTGAACACCGAAATACCAAGTATTCAGAAAGAAACAAGCCTCAGCAGATCAAGTGTGGCATCTGTAATCAGAGATGGATGCTCTTCAAGGTAATCACTCTCCATCTCCCGGAAGCACTGGAGTCTGATGAAATCCAACAGAAGTATCTGCACAGATGTCACAACAATTTGTAACATCCCTTCAGAAAACAGAAGGAAAAGAACTCAAGAGAGCAGAACTCGGCACAGACAGTCACCCAGCGCGTTGGCAATTTGCACATAAGCCTCTTGCGTGGTAACAGTATCTGCCAGAATGAGAAGAGTCTAGACACACCAGCCTGCTCGGAGTTCTATTGCTCCTAGAAGCCTCTCCACCCCAAGTACAGCAGGGGGTGGTCAATCTCTCAGATAGATGGGACTGCTTCCACACCATTTCCAGAAAGGTATGCTAACCAGATTTCTTCTGTCACTTCATCAATGTTCGTTCAGGTCACAAACTGCAACAGGCACGCAACTTGATACATCTGATCACTCCCACCATGTAACATGGACATCACAATCTTGGTTAAGAGATAGACTGAGTATTTTGTGGACAGAGGACAGCTGTGACACCTTTCCTGAAGAATACTGCGTGACACAAAATGAATAAGCGTTTCCAGTCGAATGCATCTGCCTGAAAGCTGGATAAAAGCAGACCTGCCAGCACCCAGAGCTCCATACTGGCCCTCTAAACATGCAATTCGCATTCTCTGTACAGTCTTGTCTTCAGATAAGATTCTAGGATCTTTGAAGCCCATAAGATTTCTTTTCCATAGAGTTTAATCAACCTTGAAATTTCTGTATGATCTGCATGGAATGAGGAAAAAGGCAGGAAAGATGGAAGGCAACAGCTTTCCTCCATCTGCAAAATTCCAGTTCTCGTGGTGTCAGTAACTCCAGCCAGTAATTATTGTCAGGACTTTTTCACTTTCAGCACATAAACAAACAGAAATCCCCATGCATACAAAAGATGCGAATCCCCCACCTTTTACTCTGCCTGTTTGCTACCCAGCATCAAAAGAAGACTTTGTGTTCTTTCCAATTAGCCTTTACCTCTCCTCTCTCTTCTGAGATTCCCCTCCTCATAAATTGCCTTATAGAATGACTTTTTGCAGATTACAGTGCAAAGCAGCTACTCTTCTATACAGGAGACACGAGAACACCATTACTTAATTTGGACCCAAACCCAGATTTTAAGAAGTTATTACTAGGAGTCAGTACAAAGTAAAAAGAATGGGAAATGTCACCTCTCATTCAACATGTCATTGCGCAAGATACTGTACCTATTTTCCAGATTTACAGAATAAACTTGTGAAGGATGGCATTCAACCCTTTTAGAGTTAGAAATATTTGTGCCACAGGAATCACGATGCTTTCCTGAAGCAACCTAATTTGCCTAAACCCAAATCCAAACCTAAACGTTTGAAAGAAATTTTGACATGTATTTCTTAACATCTGATCTTCAAGATAACCCACAGGTAAAATACAACAGGACACAACTGAATAAGGGCACACGGGAGAAATACCCGACATGAATGGAGCTATGAAAAGGCACTCTAAACCTTTCTATGTTTGTAATATTACAACATGCTGGTCCACTACAGGGCTACGCTTCTCATTACTGTGCAATACAGACAAAACCAAAACTCGTGTTTTAACTGAGCAACTTTTAACAAACCTCTACGCATCTCACAAAAACACTATCACTGCAACATAAACGGCTCTTGTTGCTTACCTGTTGCCAATACGTGAGAGAGAAGAGAAGGAGAGCGATATTTTTCCTAGAGAGAAGTTTACTCTCTATTATTGTCAAAAGAACAATGATTTTCCCCAACACAAGGATGCCAAAGCACTTGGAACTATTTGTATTCTATACTTAGAAGTTTCAAGTTCACTTACTTGCCTACGTATCTGTTTACCTCTCTCTGGTCTCTATTTCAAATAGCCGATTGTAGAAACTCCAAAACCTGAACGGGGAATTGTTTCGCATCTCATTAACAAATACACAAATTAATAAACCTTGGAACAAAGAAACTTAAAAAACCATTAAGGTCATATATCCTCACTTTTAGCCTTGTTTCCACAGAGAAGAGAATTCCTGACAACATGCTGACACTGTCATTTCCTTCCACCTTGTCTCTCTTCCCCACTTCCTTCCCCTGCTTCTGAACCTGCTGGTCAGTCTCCACGAAACAAGAAGAGAAGCCTCAGAGGAATGAGTTTGCCACACAGTTCAAAACAACTGCCAGACAGGTAGAGAAAAGCCAGGCAAGTAATCAGTCTGGCTAAGTACAGCAACAGCATCAGCCTGAGAATTACCCTTTCTGTCTCACCTGCAGCTCCTGGACAGCTTAGCTTGCAGATTCCTAACCTGGAATCAGCTACAGCACATGCCCAGAAAACTGGGAGAATCAGGAAGGGCTTTTTTGAGAAACTGGAAAGCAAGCCAACTTCAGGACTGCCTGAAAATATACGGTGGAGGAAGTCTACGTCATGGAAAGGTATTTACAGTGTTGAATGGCAGACTAGAGGAGGGAGCACACAGATGCAGAGAGGCGTATTTCAGGAGATCTTCTGCTCCCAGAACACCTTGCTAGAACCATTAATTTAATATTAGGAAAAAATTGGCAAGTACAATGGGCCGTTCCACAAAAGAACACTACAAAGAGACTGTTATGAATACCTTCGATATCCTCTGCATCTCCTAAACCAAATTCCTCCAACAGATATGCAAAACAAGTCAATCAGATGCGTTATTAAATACTCCCATCCAGACAGTTTACGAAACTAAATCCAGAACCACGTGAAGTGAACATTACCTGATTCCTGCCGCCTTTTTTTAGGAGAGGTTTCACCCATTTCCAAAACAGATTCGGGAGTCTTCAGCTATGAAAGACACAATCCAATGACAAAAAAACAAATGCAAAGTAACGACATACTGTTTATTTAATGAGCAGAGCAAGTGGTCAGTCTGACAGGCTTACCTGGGAACTGCTGGGTTTCTCCAAAAAGCCTGGAGGCGAAAAATGTTTTGGGAGGCGTTACTTTATTTAATTGAAGGTACCTTTTACTCCATTCAACATGAGTAGCTTCTACAACTAAGCATTAGCTGCAAGCATTATTTCACCAAGACTATCATACCTAACATCCAGTTCCCTCATCATACAGCATTTGTATCAGTATACAAGAAACAGACAATGCAGACTTCCCATCCTTCCCTCTGGATTTAAAAAATAATAATCACAGAACTAAGACAATTCATGTGAGGCAATTAGGTCATGCTTGTAACAGAACAAGATCAAAATATTTAATCCTTTTCAGGAGCCGAATCCTGCTTTACAAAAGGATTACTTCAAAAGGCAAAGCTGGTCTGCTGAATGAATGATCACAAAGCAGTCCGACAGCACGACGACTGTGATTACCCTACAAGGGTGCAATGCATTTTGTATTTTCCTCCTTTCTGCTGATGGGACAGAGAAAGCATGGATGCAGGCACAGAAACTCCATACACGTGTCATTCAATGAGGTAAAATCAAGCTAGTTCTCATCAGATTGTTCTGGTTTAGCTTGCAAGGAAACAAAAGAAACAAATGCTCTCTGGTTGTAATCTGCATTTACAGCACAGTTCCAAATACGGTTGGGTTTTTTTTTTCAATTTTTGTCCAACATTAAAATCATTTCCAAACCCACACAATCTACTGGCCCACCTATATTTCTCAAATCCTCTGCTGCAGTCATCTTACAGTTTGAGTCCTCTCATGAAAGAGGTATATGAAATGTTATGAGGAATGGCTCTGGAGCAAAGCTTTTGTATTTTTTTTTAAAAAAAACATTAAAAACCAAACAGTATTTGATTTCCATAGACTTGGGTCTCTAGCACTACAGAAATGCCTTAGAAAAATTACCATAAACCCACCGCTCTTGCCTCATTCCTTCCCTGTCCCCCTTCTCTCTCTCTCTAGGAAAACCTATATAGATGGGCAATCTGGAAGGCAGAAGGTGTTAATTAACGAATATTAAGCACTTCCTTGCTACAGCACGCACCCACATCATAAAAGCATTCTTACACTGATAAAAGTTCACTTCAGCCGATAAATGCTTATAGACAAACATTTAGTCCACCAGGAAGTTACCACTGTCACCTTTCCCTGAAGCAATCTGTGAGCACGCCCCATATCTGTCTGCAGGTGGGAGCACCACAACATACGATGTTTTTCTCAGACTTTCAGCGTCCATCTCTATAATCTAAAACACATGCACGAGAATTGGTACAAATGCATTTGCAACTCATTTCTATGCAAAAAGCTCCTGCTAAGCCAATTGCATAGCGTGCTATCGAGTACATTAGAGCTACAATGACCTTTGATAAGGCCCTTTGAAAGGACACATCAAGACACGGGATATTGGAAAATCACAGCAGTCGTGTGTGTTTTCAGATCTTAGGCAGAAAACTCACAACTCATCTAAACTATTCTGTCGTGTCGCTAAACCGTGACAAACTGGACAGCCACAACAGAGAATTAACATGGTAACTCAAGATGTGGCTTGTGAACCAATAGCTGCAGGTCTGCGACGATCCAGTTTTTGCACTGAACTTGAACTGGACATTCAAGTTCGTGCTCGCGTTCCCTAGGCACGTAACCTGCAGTGGTGAGCGAACACATCGCTACCCTCCATCACAAGGGCGATTTGGGTGGAACAAAGACTAGCAAGGCAAAGCTTACAGAAACTAAGGCGACTTAAAAAAAATATAATCTAGTTTAGTCTTCTATTTTTAAGAACGGGTGAGGAAGGATTAATTTTTCCTCACAAGAAAAGCCAGAGGGGGTTAGCTACAGATCCTGCTCCTTTTAGTCTAGCCCGTTACCACAGACAGAAAGAACTGAAAGGGCAAACGCAGCCAGCATGTGTGCTATCTCTGTCGAATATGACTTTCAGAAAGGGACGAAGTACACCTACAAAATGTAGAGAGGATCTATTCAGAAGCAGCTAACCGTCTAGTTTGTAGACCCTAAGGGCAACCACTGACCAGGTCAGCGGAATAGAGCTGTATGGTGGAAAAGCAACAAACACTCCTGCCAGCCCCTGTGAAAAGCTCAGAGTATTTTAAGCAGCAAGAAATTTCACCGCTTCTGTACTATACTAGAAACCAAACCCAAAGGCCAGTTGCTCTGACACCCAGGTCGTTAGCTTCGTCCCACTCCTAACTGAACAGCTGGCCTAGAGCACAAGTATTTCCAGGGCCCCCAGTTACAAACACGGCAGAAGCAGGAAAAAAGGAAACAAACCTCACCCACGCTAGGGCCCAATTCAAAGGCAAGCTCTCAAGTGCTTCTGGATCTTAATCCTGCCCTCCCCCTGCCCCTCTCGGGTGGGAATCCCAGTGTCCTTCACAGAAAGTACCTCAGAATCCCAGGGAGATCCAGCATCTTCCTCTTCCTCTGGTCCCGCTTCTGGCAGGGCACCTACAAAGGAGGTAGGAAGCGAGACACCGGCTGTTTATATTTCACTCTACTTTTCCCCATCAGTCAAGCCCTGCACCCAAAAGATGCACAGTGCTTCTGCTGCTGAGGACAAACTAAGAAGCAAGAGTTACTCAAGGGCTTCTTCCAACCCAGTCATGTCATGGTATTTCCTGTACATCGCCCTCTCCTCTTGCCTCCTTTCCAGCAGAAGACGGCGATGCACAGCAGCTGACACACCTGCAAGCAACACCCAGCACATGTCTGGGTAACATTCGGGAAGAGGCTCCAGCATGCTGCCGTCCTGTGTTACATAGAGTTTTGGTCACCTGCTCTCCAGCCTACAGCTCCAGAATTTGGCATTTACTACCACTTTCCACTGCACAGGAGGTACCAAAACGTCTTCACACAAACATCACTAAAATCACCCCAAAACAATGATTTTTTTTGTAGTGCTTCCAGGAAAGATCTTTCTTGACAGAGAGTCGTTACCCTGCACCTTCCCAGAAGCCAGACACGTGAGTGTTGCCATTTAAAAACAGAGCAGAGGCTCATAGCTCAAACACTCACCCCGAACGCTCAAAAGCCATTTCTATCTCAGCGGGTTAACACCCAAATCTCCTCTCTACCAGACGACCATAAGGCTCGGTCTCACTGGGTTCCTGGCCGGATTAGACTATCTTCATTTCTCCGAGACCGGTGAGGGCACCTGCCCCAGAAGAGGGCAACTACTGGTCCCCGCCTGGGCTCTGACTACTTACACTATGCCAAACACATACTTAGGGGGAAATGCATAGACACAGAAGAGCATGTATAGGCACAACACAAATACAGCAGGTTCTGCCAGGCCCCCTGTGTAGCGTTCCATCAGCGGCTACACATGCTCTGGTAACATCTACCACACCAAGCTACTCTCTGGAGACAGGCAATAGAAACGGGGCCTTATCCTCCTGCTCTGACACCTGAGGTGAGTAACTCTGATCGAGCTGGTAAAGCACACACAAGCGTGCCACTGGAAAGACCTACACTTTAAAACTGGACAAGGTGAGGCACTGGAACAGAACAGCTTTCTCTCAGCTTGACTAAAATCTTTCCCAGCCTTCAGCCAAGAGCAATCACAGCTTTTCAATCCCACAGCAGGGCCAGAAAGGGGAATACTACTGTCACACACAAGACACTCCAGTCCTCTTTTCCATCTGCACATTTTGTTCAGATCGCTTCAGGGCAAACACAGCAACAAAAGCAAGAATGGCACTTGCTTCATATAGCATCGTCTGGAATCCAACACCACCATTTCAGGTTCTTCAAGAACGAATGAAAAGGAACAAAAGATGCTTTTCTTGTCTGCCAAGGCCGGCTAAGATTCACAGGCAAAGGAAAAGTTTGCTATCTCAGAAGTCAATCACCATTTTAGTTCATTTACTGTGCATTAATATTCAGAGGAAGAACTGAGATCACTATTTGCTAACCCCTTTCTCTTACCAGCGTCGTCTTTTGAAGCATTGTGGACTTGGCGGCTGCCATTACAAACAGATTTTTTCACACCCTCAACACCTGCAGTTTGTAGCTCTTCACCAGCGTCTTTCTTCTCCTGCTTCTCCTCCTCTTCTTCCAATTCAAGTGATTCTTCCTGTAAGAGATTGACCAAAACAGATGCAAAGAGCAGAAACCGATTCTTTGCCGTCCACTGACAACTTGAAAAATACTTTTCTTGTGAAAGACAAATGGGAAACCTTGTTGAGCTTTGTCTTACAAGGCCTCCAGTTTTTCCACGGAAATCTGTGCAAGTAGAAAGCAATGCCATCCTATGTCTCACCCCTGGTTCTGCAAAGCCCCTCAGAAGCACTTCCTCATGTCCGTCTAACTCTAGCTTCATTTGAATTACATCATTCTGGAACATATTCCTTCTTTTCCCCTACTCTGCTCCAAGGAAAACCACTAGCTTCCTGCTCTCAATCTAATTCAAATTTCTTTTTGTTTGCTCACTTTCAGCCATCGCACCATGACTTTTACTAAACGGCAGTAAATCTTCACAGACAAGATCTGTACCTACAACTGAGAAAAATTTAACTGATTCCAGAAAAAGTCTACTGCCTATTCTTTTCCCTGCAAAACCACTGTAACCAATAGAAAAAAATTATGGAAAATGCCCAATATTATTCCTACATCTAAGAAAGGGCTTTGGCTAGGGGGAAGGTATTTTCTAGTGTCAAAAACGGATGACGAAAAGATGGATATATGTGAAGAATAAGTATTAACAGAAATCCAGTTTACCATTCATTTCTTCCCTATTTACTCTTAGAAAATACCCGTGTGATTGAATCGTCCCTCTATACTTACTTCAGCACTCAAGTGAAACGCTGCTCTTAAGTTTCCTTTAGGCCTATTTAAGTACGAGTTTCCACTTCCTTGTTTCAGCACTTTACCAACTTTACTATCTACTGCTTCATATCGCTCTTCTTCAGGATCTTCATCCACATGTTCAAGAATGACAGAGTTCGGTCTTCGACTTTCAAGTCTTGGGTTTTTTGCTGCTGACCAAGACTTATTACTACTTTCAAAGCTATCATCGAAGCTTGGTTTTTTCTCCTTAAGACCACAACTATCTGAGAGAGGCTGAGGTATCTCTTTTTTCCACTCTGTCATTTCCGAGTCTGCAAAACACAAGTCAGCATTTCTGTGAAACATCTCCCAAATCACGCTTTTCCTGTTCCAGCTTTCTTGTGTATCTTGTGGTGACTTAGGACTTTCCATTCTAGAATCACCACCACCATCTTAAAACACAAGAACAGGAAAAATGCACGTGAACAAAAGGAGTTACGTAAACAGCAACAGGCATGCTACCAGGTTAACGTGCAGGAGAGGAGTCATCTGGGAAAGTCTGGAAGAAGCCAGATAAGGGACGGGCAGGATGGAGGAAGGACTTGACCAGGGACAAAGGCTTAGGAGGGGATTAAGATCTTAATTTCAATGACGGGACTTATTTTTTTCTGAAACGATTAAGCACTGTCTTTTCAAAATGCTACTTTTCTCATTCACTCTAGCTAAAAGAAATTACAAAAGAAACTACTTAGCAAGTCTACTTTTACATATAAATCGGTATATCATGCAATCTTTTCCGAATAGCTTACTGTTTTTCCTGAACTGCTGGGAAGCATTCATTAACAGTACCAAGTTCGGCTTCTGCGGCTTCTGTAAGTAAAGATTTATTTAAGCCAACAACTGTTTGTTTTAAAAAACAGTTAACAACAACATATCCTGTGCTCACACCAAATCTTGAACGGTTAATATGCCCAGGCTGTCCTTTTGACAGTGTTCAGCTGCTGGCTCCATCCTATGCTTCTAACTACACACACACTCCTCACATAGGCAATTCAGTGAGTATTGCACCCCAAAACACTGTGCAGGCACCCTTCTGCAAACTGTTTCCAAAACTACCTTTACATGCAAAACAGTTCTAAAAATTGGCTTTTAATATTTGTATTACTTCATTAAAATTCAGCTATATTTAAGACTACAGTTTCAGGATGCTTACTTGCAAATGTGCACAATGCAAGTAACTGCTAAGATCCCTAGACTTAATGCATAAATTCATCCCTGCAAGTACACTTGCCAAAATAACCCTAAATTTCAAAATCATGCCAGAAAAATGCATAATTTCTATTTAAATCTGGGCAAGAAAATGAAATCATGTTAAAACTAGACATGCTTGCATCTCCAGCATTATGGAGTGGCTTGAACTACCACCCTCAAGTTCCTCATCACTGCAGAATGCCAGTGCAACAGCATAGATGCTCCAGACATCACTGCAGAAGTTGATCCTTTTTCAGAACATCAGTAAAAACAGCAGGCGCAAGCGCTTGCAGCTGACAAAAAGAATACTACCCGAGCATTCAAAAGAGAAGGAAAACGTGCAGTGTGAGATGACATGCAAGCACGGAATGCCATCTCACAGAAGGAAAAAAGACAACCCATTTGAGTAACTCATTCATCAAGCACTCTTGAGGAACCTGAGGAGGAGGAAAGGAGAACGAGGCAATGAAAGATCTCAGTAGATCTTGATAAATAAATGCCCTTTTTCTTTATCGGTTAGGATTCTGTCACCAATTTTACAGGAAACAATAACGACGTTTGGAGAAGAACAGAATAGGTTATAATGGTAACTGACAAACTTTTAGGGTCTGCAAATCTGACTCAAATGAACCAGAACAAATGAAACAACGTGGTCCAACTCGTCACCTATTGCTCTTTTGCCCCAAACCACACATCTACTGCATGCTCTGCCACAGCTACAGGCCTTTTAGGAAAAACTCACAGCAGAAGAAAGGTTGGCAGGCCAGAGACGGCTTCTAAGGGGAAAACAATATTGGCTGGAACTGCAGTTTCTTCCAATCCCAGAGAAAAAAAGCTTACCTTCAAATCACTTATTTCTACTGTAAATGCACCATACCTTGGGGGTAAAGTCAAGTTCTTCCTCAGAAGCAGGCAAACTGTCATCACTCCCCGCTTTTTCAGAGCTTCTTAAAAAGCAAAGCAAAGTGAGTACTGTGTCTCTCAAACAGTACCTCCTCAGGCAAGTCTTAGGTATTTTGGAAGTCTTACCTTATGGAGTCTCCTTCGGAAGAGTCATCTATTGCTGTTCAAATATTAATTGACATGTTGAAATTACATTTAGCATGCTAAACTTCAACCACCGCATAGAAACATTGAACACGGACAACTCAACATGTCATGACAGAACGAAACTTTGAGTAGTCAATTCAACACAAGACAGCATGAATGAACACATTTCCAAAACAACCGTTTTTTCAAGCCACACTGAATTAAAACAAACAAAAAAGACGAGTGTTATATCTCCTTTGCACCCTGATACCTAGATGTTTTAAAAACATCTCTAATTGAAAAAAAAATAGCATAGCATGAATATGCTACGAGAGCAAACAGTTACCAAAATGGTGGCAGTTTAGCAAGACAGTAAACAAACCTCCAAAGTACTCCTATTACACACACGACCACACATCACATGCAGGGATTTTTACTATGTCATGTAACATTAACTGTAGGATATACCATAATATTATACAATCTGCTCTACCCCGTTACAGATCATCCTGAAAAGGTAAAGAAAATCAAAAGGCATAATCAAGATCTAAAGCTTATCCTCAGATAGAAGAATCGCCAGCAGTTCTCTACACTGCACCAAAAAGGGTATTCAACAGACAAAAGGTGCATAACCAGGGTATTAACTGGCCCAGCCAAAACCGGGACAACTACATTCCCAGCTTTCAGCAGTGGTACGAAGGCAACGTGCACATCGGATCATAGGATAAATGAGGTCAGAAGAGACCTCAGGAAGTCTCTTAGCCAACCGTCACCTCAAAGCGGGCTCACCTATGAGGTCAGCTAAGATTGCTTAGGGCTTTATCCGGTCCGGTTTTGAACTCCTCCAAGGTGGAAGGCTGTACAACCTCTCTGTTTTACCGTCCTTATCACGGTGAAGCTTCTCACATCCAGTTAGAAACTCTCGTTTCCATTTATGCCTCTTGTATCTCTGCTTCCTGTCACGCATCACTGCCAAGCAGCACCTGGCTTTCACGTCTTCTCATATGTACTGGGAGGTGCTGCTAGGTCCCCTTCAAAGTCATCTCTTTGCTAGGCTGAACAAGCCCAGTTTTCTCAGCCTCTCCTCAAAGGGCAAGTACTTTTGCCCCTGGTGAGTTTGATGGCCCTCCACTGAACTTGGGTCACTGCTGAAACACCAAGCTCTCTTGCCCCGGGGGCTCAAATTATACCCAGGGAGCTGGACACAATCCAGCGAGTGCCAAGTAGGGGTGGACAATCACTTTCCCCAACCTCTTGGCTATGCTGCTCTTAACACAGCCCAGGACACGGTGGACCTTCTCAGCTGCCAGGGCACCCTGCTGGCTCACGTCCAGCTCTCTCTCTGCCAAGACACTCCGGGCCTTCTCAGCAAAGCAGCTCCCCAGCCAGGCACTCCCAGCACATTTTGCTAGCAAACACTTGCTAGCGGTTGTTCCTTTCCACGTGCAGGACTTGGCATTTGCCCTTGCTGAATTTTCTAAGACAGGCCTGACAGTTCATTTACTCAGCCTGGTAAGGTCCCTCTGAATGGCAGAGCTGCCCTCAAGCGTATCCACTGATCCCCCCAATTTAGGGCCACTTGCAAACTTGACAGGAGTGCACTCTAGCACATCACCAATGCACTAAAGAAAACTGAACTCTAGGAATCCAGCCTGAAGAGTGATAAAACCTCTCAACTATCAACAACTAAAATGAAGTAAAAGGGTTCTTCAATTCCCAAGACAGCAGGGAAAAAAACAAACAAACCAACCTCCATGCAGTAGCTCTTCCCCTTTCCTCAAGTTCTCGATAACTAATTCGTGTTGCATATCATAACAAAATGAAGTTGCTTATAAACAGGAGATTGGTGACCTTCCTTAAAGTCGCATGATGACAACTAAACCGAGGTCTTGGACAAAATCATCAGAGGGAAAAGAAAACAAAACTGTATCACGCCTCAAGACATCTCCTCTATACCAGTAAACCGCAGACGAGCATGGAAATTTTGTCTGTCCGAAGGACAGGGTTTGTGGGGACTTGAGTACATCTCCTGACCTGAACAGAGCTTTCAGACAATGAAGTACAATGTACACATTCAGTGTAGACATGTCATGTAGACAAAACTGAGAGGCTAAACCAAATTTCCAGTGCGAGGCCAAGCCAAAATAGATAAAATACCAATATGGTTTCTGATTTTTAATGTTCCCTATTATAAACATATAATGTTTTAAAATATTAATTAGTTTTACATACCATAGTTTTCTGTTCACTTACTCCATACCAACAGCCTAATCTACCTGCTGACCTCCCAAGCTGAATAAAAATCTCTCCCTTAGAACTGGGTGGACAGTGTGGAGCAGTCCGTTATAAACTCTCAACAGGTGACTTCAGGTGTATTTTCAACTAGTACAGTTAGAGTTAATCAAACCACCCAAGTAAGTTATCTGAACTTTCGCTTGCAATGTACAGCAGCTTTGAGCAATGATCAAAACCAGGTCACACTGTCCTTTACAAGACAAGAAAGAAAGTTCAGCAGCTAGCTTTCAGACAGACCTCGATGCCCTACCATAGAAATGGGATCTAGAAAAGCAGTCTCTGGGGATTTCTTGTTTACACTTTAATTGAAGTCCATTTCCATTTTGGAGTAACAGAAGAGCATATTTAAAAAAAAATTACTATCACCAACGACACAAAGCAAACACTCAATTCAATAATAAAGGACCCGTGCAAAACATGCCAACAAAGAAAAAGCGCCCAAAGCCTGCTCTCAAATCTAATTTATAAAACCAAAGCCATCAAAAAAGGACCTCCAGGATAATAAACATCCAGGATAATAAACATCATAGATGCCTTAATAATACTTGTATACCGTACAACATGTTTCATATTTGAAGTGCTGCTGTATAGAATACCTTTCCTTGATTTTCCTGTTCTTGATGTCTGGTTGGGAGATTGTTGCATGTCTATATCCGTTTAGGACAAGGCATGGAAAGGACAGACGAAACAATTACACCAGAATAAATCTGAATTCCCAGAAATTTGGAAAACATAAGCAGTACATCAACAAAGCTATAGCAATGGGAGAAAGTACTGTGACTATCAGCCTACTCTACAGTTATAAGCGCCTCAAACAAAACCAATCACAATCTACAGAGCTCTACTCTCACGGGACAGCGTCAAACAGTGTAACTTAATTTAGTTGCTCCATGTAGAATACCAATAGTCCAGTATTTTAAAATACTGAAATGGATTATCAGAAGTTTACTCTACTGCCAACTTTACATTTCCCTCAACTTGACTAGTCCTCATCTAGAGCAGACTGCAAATGCACTTCCTTCACACTTGTAGAGCGCTTTACACATACAGCACACTTAAAACTCCTCCCTCTAAGCATCCCAAAAATCCTTACGTGCCAACAACTAAACTTGGGAGATACACTGTCCAGAAATTTTGAAGGAAATCTTGGCTCTCAGTACTCACACCACCAGGCAACTTCCAGCCATCATGTTCTTTACACTCACTCATCTCAAGTTACAGTTTTAGCATGTTTGTTATCCCTCACTAAAAAAGCAACCCAGAAACCTGTTGCCTTAAACCAGCTCACCCTAAAAGTTGTGTCAGTTGATGCCTGATGCAAACTTCTCCCCTACCTCAGTCTGAAGAGAAGAGAGTTCTGCTTAATTGATTTGACCATGACGAACTGTTCACATACAGAAGCTATGCCACCAGCCAGAATGCAGACACGGCAAGCAGTCAGAACGAATACACTGTTCCCCCAGGGCTACAGGGCAGGCCACAGTGGGACCAAAACCAGTGCTTGACTGGTGTCAGTGTCATGCATGCCTGTTTGTGTGTGTATTCATGCCTGTGCATTGCGGAGCAGAAGTTTTAGAACATACATCACTCTCTATCTGCTCTTCCCATCCTACTTCGCAAAGTTTTTTTTTTAATTTACGTCAACGAACGGTGTGGTTCTGTTATGGCAGCTACCTGACACCAGATTTCTTCATGACAAGACCAACATTTGTCTCAGAGCAGAAAGGAGCCCTGCTTATATTGATTTTACCACGAACACATGGAATGGATGTGGCACAAGGACTCCTATGAAAAAACATGCTCTTGAAAGAGTTAAGAAAGGACCTCAGGATGGTTTCTCATTCCTTCTCTATTTCTCAGTTTTCTTAAAAGGTGATACAGGACAACTTTTCCCAGCCTCAGGAGACGTCCGTCATACTGAAGCACTCATTTCTTTTTTAAGAGCTCTACAATGAAAAAACCAACACCTTCTGTAGGGATTCAGGGAAACACTAAAGGAGCACTACATTGATATGCACTGCTGTAGCTAAAAAAAAAGCTGCCACTACAGACATGCGGGAAGTCTGAATCCTTGCCTTTAGAAAAACTGCGTAATTACTATTTTTTGCCAAAGAAACTCCAACTTCAAATCTAAAAAGTCTGTCATTCAATATGCCAGGGCTGGGACCCATTCATTGGGAGGTTTCTGCAAACCTGACGGTGATTCATAAAAAGGTTCACATTCTGAAAAAAAGAAAACATTCCAATAAGCACGAGCCAACTTCTTACATACGCGGACTTGCTCGTTAGAGTATTTTGAAGAATGTTCTACAAGTGCAAAAACAGCAAAAGGAGTAAGGATAACGTTGAAGGTCCCAGAAAAATAGTACAGAAGAGCAAAAGAAAAGAAAAGAATTCCAAAGCGAGTGTTTCTCTGGTCTCTCAAGATCATCCCAGCTTCTCCTCTAACAGAGGCTTCAAAGCCTGTTACTGCAGCATACCAAAGGGACTCTCGTGATGTAGGACCTGTGCTTTGTGGGTGCAAGACAGACGCTGCAGAATGAATGCCAACAAACGTTACCTATATGCTACTAATCTCTCTCGCCCAACGTGCTGGGGTCATCTTTTAAGAGACTGAGCACAAGGAGAACAGGATTCACACTACTCAGAAGAAAAACAACTCCTACTAGAAACAGACTGAGAATAGAGTATACTCTTTCTCCTCCCAAGTCCTTAACCCACATAACATTCTCCTCACACTTACTATGCCTCTTCAAATGAGGAGAAGTAGTAAAAAGTTCCCATAATACTGGGGACTTATATTAGTAGTATCACGATTTTCAAGGAATGGAGCAAATTATTTGGTTCAAGAACCCATTTTTCCCGGGGGGTCTGTCAGTTTTGGAATTGCACAACAATATTATTCTTCAAGACACATATTTTAAAATAACCCAGGCCTGTCTGCCATTACAGTGTGGTACCACAGCAACTATCTACACAGGCAGGAGGCAGTAACAGAGAGTGCTGCTTGGCTGAAAGCAACATTTTACTTATTAAACTACCTGTACCAAGCCCTTTGCCAAAAAAAAAAAACAAAAACCCACAAACCAAAACACTTCCTTCGATCTATCAAGAAACTTTGCAAATCCCTGACTAGATCAAAGCAACTGTTTCCGAGTTGGCCCTGAACTAAATTCCCGTATCTGGGAAAAGTCAGTGAGGACAAATATCCTATGTTTTGCTCATATTTCTCGACATATTTAAAAAAGGAGTCATGAACTCTGTTTGAACACTGTCTGCTGCCCATTTGCCACATAGTTCTGATAGAACACCCTTAAGAAAGCAGAAAGAATAAAACCTTCCACTGTAGGGCCCCAGATGTAACGACAAACAATGTCATTTATATTAAAATATTAATTTACTAAGATTCCTCTAGGGCTATGTGAGCTCCTAAGCACAGACGGCATTTTAAAAGCTCACTGAAGGAGTTAATTTTTTGATCACAAGGCCATTGAATTGTTTTTCTGGATCACAAGGTAACACTGATTTTTTGAAGTTTATTTCATAAAACTACTAAAAGTGGAAAAAAAGCATTATTGTTATTGTAATTCCAGCTCTGTCAAAGAGGACACAGTATACACAGACACTGCATTGTTGATGCTAACAAACTTGCTTTTCCAAGACGATTTTTCCTAAGTATGCCTCTACAGCACCTGCATGGAAACAGTTGTAACTGATGCTGAGAAATAAGGTGACTCACTAAAAGGAGCTTAGTGCAGGCCAAACTGTTAGTATTAAAAACGAAGACACACAAACTCAGTGGAAATCAACAAGACATGTATCTTCCTGCTAACTCATCTGTTGCTTCCCAACTACAAAAAGATGAACAGCTACACAGGATGAACCTACTGCTTTCGCAACTGGACTTTCACAATCTGAATGGCCATCCATAGGTAAAAGCACACACCTGAAAAAAAAAAACCCACCGCTCTTGCCTCATTCCTTCCCTGTCCCCCTTCTCTCTCTCTCTAGGAAAACCTATATAGATGGGCAATCTGGAAGGCAGAAGGCAACAACCCTGTCAGTGGACATGTAGGACACAAACCACCACTCTGCTTTCACAGCTAGAAAAGCGACAAGAAGCACCTCCAACTAGCAACAAATAAGCACATTCACAAAACTTCTTGTGCTGCTCTGTCGGGTGCCTCCACTAGAGTCAATGGCAAACACAAGAAGCGTTAACAATACAAACCACCTAAAGAAAAGGTCACAGTGATCTTGCTTATGAGCCCCTCCATGGTTAAGGATCTTACCTCCTCTGTCCACAGCAGGTATAGCCAACATAAAGCGAGCCCAGTGAGGAGTGCTCAGTACCATGGCACCTTGTGCACCACCTGCAGAAGCTTCTCCTGTGTCTTCACAGTCTGCATATTCTGCCAGTTCTTTACTAACACTACACAGAGAAAGAGAGAAAATACAGTTGGTAAAAATAACCATGTAGCGGCATATACCCTTTAACAGAATAGTTAACAGCCACTTATTATCCACCCAGCGCATACTCAGAGCCATAGGGATTCATATACTCATATATTCGCTAAGAGTGATACGCACAGAACTTACCACGTGACTGTTACATACTTCAATATTCACTGCAGTCAGGTTCATTCTATAGATGCATACTCACACCTACTAAGTTATTAACACCTGCTTGGTACATGTTTTCCAGCCTAGCTTGTAAGCACACACAACCACCTTACAGAAGGAACACCCACAGGCACAAAGCTATGCCTAAGAAGAATGAAACTGCTTTAAGATGGTAACAAAGGGAATATCGGTTAGAACTCCTCCAAATCAAAAGGCTGGTAGCTCCCAGTCTCTGTCCTTATTGACCTCCACTACAATGGTGCCGGGCCGGGGAGAGGGTTTACATGCGTTTCAGTTTGCCAAGTTCCACCTCTGGATAACTGCAGGATAGAGGCATTCTTTACTGTTCGCGTTGGGCGGACATGAGCTTAGCAACAAAACTTGAAATCTAACAGAGAATTCTGGGTGGAAATTTTCCTCAGCTTCCAAATTAACACTAGACACAGGAATGACACGTGTCAGAAGACATCACTGAGCACAGCTTCGGGTCTCAACACACCATTAAACCTGGGTGCTGTTACCAAAAACATTCAAAAGGCACACTGATAACTGACAACTTTTTCTAACGATAAAGCTAAAAATTTACCTAGAATATCCACAAATAACAGCAAGATCCTCAGCTGACCATCCATTAGTGTCTCTATGGGAAACATCAGCCCCATACCGAAGAAGAACTTTTATCAAATTAAGCTCGCCATCAGAAGCAGCAGTCATAAGTGGGGTTCTGAAACATCCAAAATATGATATGAAATAGATCGTTTTACACAGACACAGTAATTATTTTTATTCCTATTTGCTCTCAAAAAAGAATGTTCCCCATTACTTTAGAACGATCAAAAGAAAAAGCAGTTTTCATGAAGTATGAAAACCAACAATAAAACGGGAGAGAGAGACCAAACAACTAAATGTTCGCTCTTCAGACAAAGGTTCCACATAGGCAATGCTCACGTGCAAACGATGCTGCTACTACGCAGGAGATGGTTTTTCAAATTGAGGCGATGCTGCCAAGGTAACAGCACGTTTCCTGCCACAAGGGCCATCACAGACAATGCCTTCTTGCAATCCTCAGTGTGGAAAGCACCCACTGAGGTATGACAGCAGGCAAGTGCAGACTTGCTTTCACAAGTCATACAGAAATACCTCCTTCTGTGTGATTCCCCGGGTTGTTGGTTTTTTTCAGAGCTCATTCCTATGCCTCTCATCAATCCAACCAAAAGGATACTAAAGAGACCCATGTAGACTTCTGACAGAGCCCTCACCTTTCACACTGATCGCAAGCATTCACATCAGCTCCGTTTTTAAGGAGAAACTCTACTATCTCTTCATGATGTTTGGAGACAGCAAGAATAAGCGGGGTATGTCCCTCCTGAAAGTACAGGTAAGTAAATCAAGGTAAAAATCAAAGTAAAAAAACCCTTCAAGAGAAACAGTAATGCAACTTCTTGAAAGAACCTCCTTAACAAATACAAACATTTACCTTATTCTGGGCATCAATATTGGCATTATGCTCAAGTAACAGCCCTGCTACAGATGTATTAGGAGATATGACAGCAAGGTGGAGGGCAGTGTTGCCGTCAGCATCTGCCAGATTTGGGTCAGCGCCATGCTTTAGCAGAACAGCCACACATTTTTCTTGCTGGCACTGTACTGCCTGGGAACACACAAGAAAGGAAAACTTCCAGCATTGACACTGCACTCTGTAACAATTCCCCCATCTTCCTGATGTTGGAAAATAAAAGCACCCACAAAGAGCAGCTAACATATGCCTATTCCACGCCAATCATAATATGCATGTTTCCACACAGGGCAATGTAAAGAATCCTGCCACATACATCATTTAGCACACAGTCGATAAGCCCCAGTTACAAGAGCATAACACATTCCACATACCTTCATCAGTGGCGATCTGTGGTAATTGTCAAAAAGGTTTAGCTTACACTTGTTTTTCACTAGATATGTAACGACATCCACGTGGCCGTTTGCGCAAGCAAGGTGCAGAGGTGTCCTAAAAATTAAATAAATTAGCAGAGACAGATAACCAAATTAATCATTTCAGGCTGTAATAAATGGATACGACCACAAGTTTCACTTTGAAAAAACAAGCTTGAGAAAAGATTTCTCATTCTATTACCAGTAATGGCAGTTGCACACCAAATGCCTGAGGCTGGCTAGCAAAAATGCTCCTCAGCATCTGCTTCGTCAGGAGACATTGCCTTGGCTGTAGAACTGAATCTGCACAAACAGGCATTGGTCACTGCCTCCAGCAGGACTACACACATGGCACACCAACAGAGACTAAAGCTTGGGAACCCGAGGACTATGGCAAGTAAACCTTTAAGTTCTTCTACGATCGTTCATGTGCCAGTGTATCAGAGACAGAGCAGATGGGGTTTATAGCAAGAATACTAGTGTTTCCCTGCAGAATTTCTGATTTTTCTCCAGCTTGCTTACAACTGTAGCAAAAACAAGAACACACTTGCACCAAAGTGCCTCTGACAACATGTAGCAAAGCAGACAGCAGAACACTCTAAGCCTGACTACAGGAAAGTAATACTTGACCTTCCTGACATGTAGAACTATGGTAGCCATAAAAAGCCTACTACCGAGAAAGTCCTGCCCAAGGAGTGAATACTGTCTTTCCAGAATACATGAGCAGCACATGAAACTTTTTTTTTTCCCCCTCCAAGTTAAAGCCTTGCCAGAAAGAAAAGGGCTCCTTCAAACCACTGAACATCTTAGGTCTCAAGTCAATTAACCAGCCTACTTGTACCCAAAGACATAATCACACAGAAAGTCCTTGCGTGTGCTTCCCCTAAATCAAAGCACAAAGCAGCACAAGCTTCACTCCTGCAGAAGGCAAAGGGCCTGCTGCTCTGCAGGACGCCTGTCCCAACAGAGCAGAGACAAGCTAGAAAACAGCCGGGACCTTCCTCCCTTGAAAGTGATGCAATAAAAATCCTGCAGTTGCTCAAGAACTGAGGGGATACACCAGCACTCCTTTGGCATCGCAGCACTGTGGATAGGTCCTTCTCTGCATTTAGGAAAGCTCAACTAACCTTGCAATTGTTCTGGCACCTTGCTGATAGACAGGTGCACAACAGCTCGCTGGCTAGGTGGGATTGGAAAGGGAGAGGTACACAAATGCAGTGGCACGTGATGCAGAAACACAGCAATTTGTAATGCAGATATTTCTTATTACAGGGCAGCTGATGAGCCTTCTCCATGGCAAAAAGGATGAGGACAAGAAAAACACTCAAAACCTCAAAGAACTTGTCATGTCTTGCTACAGGTGGGGAAAAGACTGAAGCATCAATAGAAGAGTCCCTCAAGAGCAGCTACCACCACTTGCTGAGAAATTCCCATCTAAGTATGCAGGCTCCTTCGTCTCTGAAGAACTGACTGACTGAGATCATCTGAAAGCTAACCGGGACTGGTTAGGAAGAAGTCTGCGATTATTTAAAAGCTGCTACTAAATGCAGTAGGAAACCTGACCAACCTGAAGAAGTCACTATCAGCTTCGCAAACAGAAAAGCCTTCAGAAAACCTGCGGACTTGTTGCTGCCCTCCTCAACCAATCCTCTCAGTCGGCCAACAGGAAAGGAGATGGCTCTGCTTGGAGCAAGGCCTGCTGAGCTCCACAGAAGATCCACTTCAGGGAACAGGCTGGCAGAGAACATCCGTGTGTTCACACAGTTGCCTGTCCCCACAAGAGGCCTCCAGTACCACCAAACCCAGACCTGGGGACTCTACCCAGACTCTGTTCCTCCTGCTGCTGCAATCCTATGCTGATCACCCATGGGGTAGAGCAGAACTCCTGATGCCTGAGCAGCTGCAAAACCACCTCACTAAGAGACCATAGGGAAACAGCAGGCTGGCAGCACGCACTTCCAACAGCACTTGAGCCAACAACCCAGCACCTACAAACTAAGCAACATAAAGCTCTCGAGTTCGCCTTGACAGGCAGCTGAAAGGGGAAAGCTCTTAGCGATTAGCTTTGACCCAGCGTTCATGACTAGCCGGCATCACGCCTACAGCGCTTCCAACTCCATGCTGAGTTTTGCCCATCTTTTTCAGCAAGGCTGAAGGCTTTGCTAGACCACCTCTGAAAAGCTGCCTGCTCCTAACTGATGCTGTTCAAGTGCATTTTTGGGAGCTCCCATGGGCTACAGGACCCACTTTGTGGAAGGAACCTGTAGGTGTGATACTTGCCACATCCTTGGGACAGAATTTTGCTTTTTGAAATCCTGAGCAGCAGAACCAAGATATTCCTGCGAACAATGCACGCATTTGAGCCATTACTTCCCCCTTTTCCTAGTCTTCACTTCTATTTTCAATGATGTCGACTCTTCCAGCCCCTGGAGGACACAACGAACCTCTAAAACACATCGACTAAACCTGCACGCTGAGCACCCCAAGATGCCCAGAGATACACGCCACCGCACTCCGACTTCCAAGCGCGGCTGGAGAATAACCACGAGGCTCCTTCCGCAGCCCACCCTTGTCAGGCTGCTGCCCGCTCCCTTCCACTTCTGCGCCCCCAGGCAAGGAAATACGACCCGGCGAACGTGGGCACTAAGGAGGCCGGGGCGAAACGGGGAAGGCGACAGCTGGATGCGAGGCCGAATTCAAGCGCTTCTGGC